TCTAAATGAAAACGTCTAAGAATTCTCCTCCCTCCAAGAACCTCCCTCCTTCCTCCTTCCTCATCTTAAGCCACGGGTTCTCCTCTCAACGAAGACGAGCTCTGGAGGTTCTGTTCCTTTTTAGAACCTGAGATTTTGGCGACGAAGGGACGAAGGCTGAAGACGGCTCCTCCAAGGAGCAGCGCCGAGCCCATCATGACGAAGGGCATGGCCAGACCTCCTGTTGTGTCGATTACCAGTCCTGGAGAGAGATGGAGAGGGTTGGTAATACAGAGAAAAGGGAAAGAAGGTGATGGAGAAGAGAAGGACAATGGAGGAGATGATGAAGATGATAAGGAAGGGAAAGGGGATGAAGAAGAGAAGGAAGAGAAAGGAAATGGTGAAGAAGAGAAGAAAGAGAAAGGACATGATGAAGAAGAGAAGAAAGAGAAACGAGATGATGCAGAAGAGAAGAAAGAGAAAGGAGATGATGCAGAAGAGAAGAAAGAGAAAGGAGATGAAAAAGAAGAGAAGAAAGAGAAAGGAGATGAAGCAGAAGAGAAGAAAGAGAAAGGGGATGATGCAGAAGAGAAGAAAGAGAAAGGACATGATGAAGAAGAGAAGAAAGAGAAAGGAAATGATGAAGAGAAGAAAGAGAAAGGAGATGATGAAGAAGAGAAGAAAGAGAAAGGAGATGATGCAGAAGAGAAGAAAGAGCAAGGAGATGATGCAGAAGAGAAGAAAGAGAAAGGACACGATGAAGAAGAGAGGGAAGAAAAGATGATGAAATAAGAAAGAAGGGAAAGGAGATGATGAAAAAAAGAGAGAGAAGAGAAAGGAGATGATGAAAAATAGAAGGCAGAAAAAGTAGATGATAATGAAGAAAAGAAGGAAGGGAAAGAAGATAGATGATGAAGAAGAGGAGGAAGAGAAATGAAATGATGAAAAAGAGAGAGAAGAGAAAGAGGATGATGAAGAAGAGAAGGAGGAGGAACGAAATGATGAAAAAGAGAGGGAATAGAAAAGAGACGATGAAGAACGGAAGAAAAAGAAAGGAGATGATGATGAAGAAAAGCAGGAAGGGAAAAAAGGTAGATGATGGACAAGAGGAGGAAGAGAAAAAATGATGAAAATGAGAAGGAAGAGAAAAGAGATGAAGAAGAAGAAGAGAAAGAAGAGGAAAGAGAGAAGGAAGAGAAAGGAGATGATGAAAATGCGAAGGAAAAAAAGGAGATGATGAAGAAGAGAAAGAAGGGAAAGGAGGGGATAAAGAAGAGAAGGAAGAAGAAAGGATGATGAAAATGAGAAGGACTGGAAATGAGACGATAAAGAAGAGAATGAAGCGAAAGGAGGAGAGGGAAAAAGGAAGATGATGAGGAAAGGGATGGAGAAAAGGAAGGGAAAACAAGATAATGAGGAAGATGGCAAATAAAAGGATAAATGACGATAATGAAGATGACATAATAATAAAATAAGTATAACGGGGACGCTGGCGACGTAGGATAAAGAGAGAAAGAAGAAAAAAAGAATAAGATGGTAAAGAAGGAAGGGAAGAGAAAGCCGCATGCCAGGCCCGAATATTAAAGAGAAATCAGAGAAAAGGTTAACAAATTATAAAGAAAAAAAATAAAAGAAAAAGAAGAAGAAGGAAAAAAATATATATATGGTAGTTTTTTTTTGGGCTCCGTGGTTCGATTCAGGTTTTCGCCTAAAAGTGAAAATAATGTGTTAAAACGTTTCATTTCACACGCGCACATGCACACACACAAACACACACAAACACACACACACACGCACCAGCACACACACACGCACACACACACACACACACACACACACACACACACACACACACACACACACACACAAACACACACAAAAACACACACAAACACACACAAAAACACACACAAACACACACATACACACACACAATCAAACAAACAAACAAACAAACACACACACACACAAAAACACACACAAACACACAAGCAAACACACACACACACACACACAAACAAACAAACAAACACACACACACACACAAAACATACCTATCAGCGAAGGATACAAAAAACTACAGGTGCCCTGCGTCATCCTGAAGAAGCCCCACGTGCTGGCCATGTCGTCGCCCCCGAACTCGTCAGCCAGCTGGGTGTTGATGAGAGTCCAGAAGAAGGCCATGCAGAAGGAGAGCAACGTTGCAGCCCCCAGGAGTTGCCACATGCTGTTGCAGAGAGGCGTCAGCAGGCATCCGATTCCTCCCACTACAAGGCTGGGAATTAAGGTTCAGTTAGTATTATTATGGTTTTCATTATCATTATTGTCATCAGCATCATTATTATCATCATCTTTTTTATCGTTCTTATTATAATCATTATTATTATCATCATTATTATTATTAGCATTATTATCAATATCATTGTTATTATTATTACTATTATTATCACTATTATTACCATTATTATTATTATTATTATCATTATTATTATTATTATTATCATTATTATTATTATTAACA